ATAAATTACAATCGCAAATATAACAATTATTTTTGTTATTACGTTTTAATTCTACGTTATTATATAATGGTAATATTTTTATTTTGACATTATTTAACCTATTCTTCAATAACAACTTATTATGCTCAGGCAAGATCTCTATTTACGAGGAAATGTAAATACCTGCCTGTTTTATTATTGATTTTTATTGACTTTTTTTAGCTAAAGTAATAAAAATATATAATAATAATAATTTTTTCACTTGTTTTAAAATTAAAATTTACATATAAATTTCTTAATTACGAACTCTATTAAAAATTGTATTGTCAGTATACGCACATATAGTCCGTTAGTTATAAAATAGTTGGCGTTGCTGTCACGAACGGAGTGAATAATGAATGAAAATAGGCTGACTGAAAAATAAATTATGTTTTCCGTTATCGAGAAAAAAGAAATTTAAAATTTGCGTTTTCCTAGTGTTTTTTTTTGTATTCATTGACATATTTGAGTGAGTTTTTTTATGTTTTTGTTTTTTATAAATTTTTATTTTTAATATTATTATGTTCATATTTTTCTTTTATATCACACCTTCTGTTTGTTTTTAAAAATGTGCTTTAAGTTTCTTGTTTTTTTTTTTTAATTTTTGTTTTTGTCTTTTTTGTTTGGTTATTTTATTTATTAAAGACTCGTTATGACAACTTAAGTATCAGTTCTGTCAAATGGGTCATTGACATTGTTAGGGTTACTACTAAAGTTCCACTCCCCTTATCTTCACTATTCAGTGAGATATCTGATTAATTTTGTTCTGTTTGAAAAACTGGAACAAACACTTTCTTTTGATTGATTCAATTATTCTGTGACGTCCTGGCTTACTTCCGGTTTTTCCGGAAATAACGAAAATCGAAATTTTTTTATTGTTAAATGGAAACCCTCTCTTTTATTGTAAATTTAAAAATTTTTGTATAATAATCATGTATTGAAAATTTTCTGTCAGCTGTCAAAATAGTCGCCATATTGGATAATATTTTTTCTAAACATGTCACTATTAATTCGTTTATGGAAAAAAATATAAAAATGTACGATCTTTATAAAATCTTTGTAAGATTAAAAATTCCCATTGAGACCCATTTTTCGTATACCAGTGGCACATCTAAGCATTTTTATTATTAGCAAACCGTTTAATAATTCCATCCGCTTTTATCTTCGTTGTTAATTGAGATATTGGAATGAAAACTTTTTTGTTTAAAAGCTTGGAACAAATACTGTCATATACTGGATTCAATTGGTGTGTGACGTCTTGGCTTACTTCTGGTTTTTCGGAAATAACAGAAAATATTAATTTATTTTTAATTTTTAAATAGAATCCCCCTTTTTTTATTGAAAATTTGAATTTCAAGAACATTTATGGAAAAGAAACATGTGTTGAAAATTTTCTGTCAGCTATCAAAATGACCATCATATTGGAAAATATATTTGTTTAATATGTTACAGAAAATGTTCAATAAACGCCCCAAAAATGTCCCAGAAATTCAAATTTTCAATAAAAAATGTTTTTCATTTAAAAATAAAAAATAAATTGCGATTTTCTGTTATTTCTGGAGAAGCTGTAAGTAAGCCATGACGTCACAGAAAAATTAAATCCATCATAAGAAAATTTTCTTTTATTTTTCATTTCCTTTGTTTTCCAACAAACAAACATTCTAAAATTTTTTTCAAAATTTTGCCCCTCCCCCTATAGAATTGTGTAACGACGCCCATGGGCGAGTCGCTGGCGATCGACTATGCATACGGCGGTTAGTGTTGCTAATATAATTATGACAAGAACAACTGGTAAATGAGTGATGCTGTTAGTATGTAAACGTGTAATTCACAATGCTGCCTTATCCATACTGCCCAACAGAATCAGAAAATAAAATAATCCTGAAAAATCCTGATAAATAAAAAAAGATGGCTACTACTCTATCGATAGTAAATTAATTCCTTTTAATTTAAAGAATAAAATTGAAAAGCATTATTAACAAGTTATTACTATCGGCAGACCCAATCACACTATCCCTTCTCTTTGACTCGAAAATTGATTTTACCTATTATTATTACTATGACCTATGCATCTTGAACTTCTCCAGACACAAGCAAGTTATTAACCTCCACACTGGCTTCTATAAATTTTTATTTCTTCGAGGCTAGTCCACGTGCTAAGTTCAGCTTAACACAGAATGCGTTAAGTAGGTTGCGTTACGTAACGATAAGAGTAAGGAAGCTGTCTCACTTTCTCTTACACCTTAAGGCATCGTCGATATATACATATGAAAGTTATTGATCGGACTTTATTGAAGATTCTTGCGCTTATCAGAGATAGTATCTATTAGGCTATGATGTTTGCTCTTCTTTTTAGCTATTTTCATTTCCTTTCGTTTTTAATTTCTGTTTTTACAATTTGTGAAGCAGTAAAACATGGATCATTATTAATTTATACATATTGTATTTTTTTAAGTGACCTTCATTAGAAGAGAGACATTTGAGATGAGAGACCAAATTAAGTTTAGCCACGCCTAGATGTCGAAATTAAGAGGAGTTTCATTTAATTTCCTATTTCTATCTATAACACAGTTCATTTTCCATAGCTCGTTTTACAAAAGTCAATCTAAGACATTTACTAAATATAAATACAGTGTGTGTACCTAAGTTGGCTACATACTTTTTTATTATTAGTTTAATAGAAAAATGTATTTCTTTATAAAAAGTTTTGCATAGTTAGTGATGCCGCGAGACAAGACGAGACGAGAGAATGGCCTCTCTCGTCTCGTAGGGCGAGAGAAAAATGTTCTCTCGTCTCGACGAGAAGGCGCTTCTAACGCTCGAGAGAGCCTTTCTCTCATCTTGTCTCGTCTTGTTTCTCTCGTAATAAAACAATATCAAATTTAAAATTGAAAAAGACGAAACATGAAAAACGGTAAAATTTGTAAGATAGAAACAAATAATGTTTCAAGTAATTTGCGCATTAGTACCCAAATTTGGTAATAAGAAACACTTATGTCTCTCTGTCTGTCCGTCTGTCACAGTCGTTTTACAATTGAAATTTGAAGTAATAAGTGGCCCAGATTAGGCGTTAACTAAAAACGAAAATACTTGTAAGTCAGTTGGGGAGGGAGGGACGAGGTTAAACTGGAAGTTAGAATTTTTCTATGCAATCCTGCGATGTCAAATGAAAGCATTTGGTAGTATGTTTTCAAAATGCAAGAAAATAGAGACATAAAACAAAAACGATGTGAAATTAGAGAAACATTTTGATATTTTTGTTATAATGAGATGCACTTTACTTGAGACATAAAATAGAGGACGTTACTATCTTTAAATATTCTAATGGAAAGTAAAGTCATGTAATACCTCATTTAAAAGATATTTTGATTATATTTACGTCCAAGCAAACAGTTTTAATTTTTTACAAAAACTACATTCTTGATAATCCACGTGTGTCGCAATAATCCTAGAAATATTAGATAATGTTAGAAGATAATTTTTAATAAGTTTTTTTTGCTAAGAAGTTATGAAAAATTTAATACGTCAAGTGGTTTTTGAATCACCTTTGATATTCTTAATTTATGTATTTTAGTAAATACGAGAAGCGTTTCCTTAGTAATAAACAATAATTGTTAATACGAGAGTTATCAAGAATGTAAAGGCCTAGAACATGTCTGTATAAAAACAAAGTACCAGCTACAATAAATTGCCATTTGTGCAGTGTTAAATCCCTCTAACAGTAAAAAATTACTTAAATTTATAAAAGATACTGACATTTAGTCTGTAATAGTCAAAATGTTAATTATCCATTGTATACTATTGTAAAAAACAGCATTTATAAGGTATTATACCTTTGATAATGATCCTTTGAGGTTGAAGCGGTAAATAAAAAAAAATAATTTAACCTACTTTATGAATTTATTTAATATATATTTTGTAAAAATATAAATACCTAAATCTGTTTACATGAACGTAAAAATATAGAAAATATTTTTCAAATGAGGTATCACATGACCGTACTTTCCATTAGAAAATTTAAAGCTAGTAACTCCCTCTATCTTGTCTATCGTGTCTCAAGTAAAGTGCATCTCTTTATAACAAAAATATAATATGTCTTGAGTTTTACCTCGATTTTGTTTTGTCATTATCTTTTTTCATTTAAAAGTTAAAATAGAGGATGTTGCAATTTTCGTCCTCACTGTATATAATACATTCGTTTGAATTACCTTTTCTTTGACAGTTTATCGAAAAAACGCTTAAAAATTTTCAACTTATCTTCAAAAGTAACTTCAGAAAAGCAGAATGGATTAAATATAAGAAATGATTGTAAAAATTTTAAATAAATGAAATGAGAAATATTTTTTTTATAAATCACTATTTATAAAATCCTAATAACACATGTATCATTTGTTACCATTTAATATAGAATAGGTGTGTTATAGTTAACTTTTTGACTATCTCGAAATCTAATATGTTAAAATTTTATGTTACGATATGTTACGATTTCATATCCATTCTATCTAGTAAGAACACGGCACACATACACACCAATCACAGTTCATATTTGGTCATCAGACTGCTATTAATTTGAAAAATTTTAAAGACATAAGTAACAATTCTGTCAAACTAATTGTCGGTATATTTTTTAGTTATGCTTCACATCCTTGTTAGTGGAAGTAAAGATAACCATGTAGTATACCTATGTTACCCCGCTAACCCACAAAAATCTTACGTTACTCTTTAAAGAATGCAACAGGTGTTTGCTTGCTAAAGAAAATTAGCTTGATTCTCATATTTTTTAAGACCCAAATGAAATGATTCATCTAGATTCATCTTTAACAAATATATAGATTCTCGCTTTTCAAACTGGAAGATCTCGGGTCTGCCCAGAATATTTTGTTACAGGACAATGTTGTTAAAAATTAAATTAAAGAATCCCTCTTATCTCATCTTAATACATAAAAAATCAGGAAAGTACTTGAAAAAAAAAAATAACTTACGAATTTGAGTGTCTTACATTTGGTTTGACCATTAGCTCCATATGTTTTTGCAAACACTTTAAAACCGGTAGTACATCAACTAAGGCTTTTGGAAATAACCTTAATGATTTCCTAATTACATCTAAATCTAGTGATGAATGTCTCAAACATTGTACTACAACGGTTAATTCTTTACAATCTCTATGACTCACCATAAAAAAAAAGTGTTTTTATCTAAAGTGTGCGATAACTCGATTGTTACGTAGCTGATGCATTTCTTGTATAAGTACTAAAGTACTAAAATTAGAAAGCAGAAGGCATAGTGATTGTACCAAAATGGGAAATTCAACCATCCCATGTTACAAAAAAAAAAAAAAATAATGCTTTTTACGGTACATGTCAACATTAAACCTAGTTATTAACTGCAGCAAATCTTCATTTAGAACTCCTTATGACCAGAGTTCTGCCCTAGCTCTCATTATAAATAGTCCCTAACTTTCATTATTGAAATTCTGAATACACACAGCGTCAAAAAACTTGGTATAACACCAAATCTAAAACCTTTATCAAAATTTTGTTTCTGTAGAAATAATCTCGTATACATTGTTGTTTTTTATCACGAATAAAAAACGCCACAAAACTTTATCACTTTCTTTTACTACAGCTTTTGTTGAAAATGATCAGTTTTGTATAAATCTCGAAAAGTATAGTTCGTTTTCAATTGTTCAAAAATGCCTGGCCAGCAAATTTCAGGTTTTGATTGAGCTAGAATAATCGCCCTACATCAACAGAACTGGTCAAATCATAGGATTTCAGCAAGTCATTCCTAGGATGTCTGTTATCAGAATAGTGCAACTGTTTCAAGAAACCGGAGGTGTGAATAGGAGACCTGGTAGTGGGTGGCATCGTGTTACAGACGAAAGAGAGGATCGATATTTAGCCAATTTTGTTCGACGCAATCGGAATATCACAGTCACAGCAGTAAGAACGCATTTCAGAAGAACGTACGGAAGATACATTTCTAGGCCCACAATTCGACGAAGGCTAGCTGGCGAAAATTTACGATCGAGAAGACCTTTAAGAGTGCCAAGGCTTACTAGAGCACATAGAGCTGGCCGCTTAGCATGGGGTCGTATTCACAGGAACTGGCTTTTACCTCAATGGAGAAATGTTGTTTTTTCAGATGAGTCCCGATTTGGATTAATAAGTGACAGTCGTCGTGTAAGGGTATGGAGAGAGTCAGGACGTGCAGCACTTTTAGCCTTCCTCAAGAAGTGGTTCCTTACCAAGGAGGGACGGTTATGTTTTGGGGGGGGCATTATACACGGTTATCGCACTCCGCTTATTCACATACCAGGGACGCTGACGGGAAACATCTACCTGGAAAATGTTATAAGGCCAATTGTTCTGCGTCGGAGAAAAGAATTTGGACCAAATTTCATTTTTATGGATGACAACGCCCGTTCACATCGCACTAGAATGATTCAAAATGTGTTAGCTGAAGCCAATGTCCAGCGAATGAACAGGCCAGCACAATCGCCGGACATGAATCCGATTGAGCACATGTGGGATATGCTTTCAGAAGCTATATTTAGGAGACCAAACCCTTCAGGAGCTGATTGTGGCGGCATTGGAAGAGTGGAACAATATTCCTCAAGAACAGATCGATAATCTTATTCGCTCAATGCCAAGGCGAGTCAATCAATGTATCGAAAACAGAGGCGGTCACACGGAATATTAGTGTTGTTATTTTTTTTTTTCATAAGTTCATTTTTTGTTAAATTAGGAATTTTGATAAATTGATTTTTGGCACCTTTTTGGATTTTCTAATTTTTTTCATCGCCAAAGAGAGTTGCACCTAAAAAAAATATATGTATAAGCTGGTGAAAGAATAACTCATTTTATGATATACATTAATATAAAAAAATATCTTCGCTCTCGAAAAAATTTGGGGGGTCAATAAAAGGAAATGTATATTAGGAAATTTCTAAGAGGGTCCTCTTGTCTTACCAAAATGTATTCAAACTTGAGACCAAAACACAGTTTTTAAATACTTCAATAGTTTCTTTCACTTGAAAAACTTAAAATAGCTAAGAGCCTAACTGGTTATGCTTGCAGCCAAACGGGTATAGACTTTCTCAAAAATTAAAGTTGAAAATGTCAAGGTGGAAGCTAACAATATACAAATTTTCATTGATAAAATGCTCAAACTTCGACTCCACAACGAGCCCAGCCTTTTTTAGTATTTTCATTCTCCTACGAATTACCTCAATTTATGCTCGGCAAGAACAATTTTTATTTTATGGGAAAAAAAACAAAGTCTCACTGTTCTTCAGGACCTTTTATTCTAACCATTAACGCTCCAGTTCATCCAGTATCTCCCCAAACTATTGGGTGGGTAGCTCAAGCACTTAGTACACATACGTATGTACCTCGACCGTCCTCATTACCTGCGTCAATATCGAAACCATTAGAAAAATTGTAGGACAAAGAGATCAGCAGTGGGATTCTCATCTTTCGTACTCGGCACGTGTTGTAACGAGAAAGATTTTGCGATTCCTATCTCGGATATCGAAAAGGGAGATATACCGATCTTAAATGTCAGTTGCACTCGCTTCATCTTTAGGTATCGAGAATCGATTTTTAACTTGAAATCTTGTAATTTTGTGTCAATACTGTCAATAGATAATTATTTAATTTTCGTTTTTATAAAATAATATGAGTACGAAAAAATGTTTCCTCCCAAGATGTGATAATGATTTACATTTTACATTTATTATTAAAAATATTTATTTGTGTTGCCAAAAATATGAAAAGAAGAAAATTATTACACAGAAATGCTTCAAGCAACAGATAAATTATTTTACGGTTTGTATCTATACTCTTTATTAAAATGAAAATGTTTTATTGTAATTTATTAGAATTCAATTATCTCCCATTGTAGTAACGATGCTTTTTCTTTTTTTTTTTTAGATATCAGTTGATTTTGAAAACTTCCTTAAATTATGGATAAACCTTTACATATAAGAAATGGGTAGTACCACACAAATGTCTCTACAGTTCTTGTTATTCACCACACAAGAGCCAGCTCACTGATTCTACAAAAAACAAAAAAAAACAAAAATAATGTCTTCTAAAAAGTTGACTGGAAAATAACCTACTAGAGGCGTTTTTTATCTCTATTTCGTAAAAATACACCGATTCTTCAAGATGCAGCAGCAATTTCTGACATTGTCCCATTTAGGAAATTTAAAATGGGCCTACTATATAAGTTCGAAGGTGTATATCCTAAAACTCTCCTTCGGAACCTCCTGAAAGATTTGAAGATAGTAAAGTTTTGTCTGAATCAGAAGAAACATCTTTAATATTTGATTCAGAGGGACTTAATAATAATGAGCAGGATATTCAAGACCAATGAACTCTCAAAATAATTGAAAATAAACTAAAGGTATATTTAGGATTGGCCAACAGTGTTTTTAAAATCCTCAATCATATTTATGAGAAGGAAAGTGTAGCTTACATAAACCTTTTACATTTCTGTGTGAATTAAAAGAACTCATTTTGTAAGACTAAATACTTAATAAACTGTTTGTTTTTTAATTAATATATTACATTATTTCAGGGATTATAATAAATGTATACAAACAAAAATGTAAAATCTGTGAAAATTTTATTCACCTATTATTAAAAAATAAAAGTAGCTGAATAAGATAAATGAAGTAAAAAACACTTTATTTACAAATAATAAAAAATATATACAAGCCTTAACAATAATGTAGTTGAACAAATTAAACGTTTCTCTAAAGATTCATTATCAAATAAAACTTTTTATCTACCTCAGCATTATTTACTTCAAATGTGGGAGAAACAGTGCAAAATACTTTATGTTCATGTGTAATTATTCTGATTAGGTACTGTACAAATATCTCCTTTTCTCAAGTTCATGGAAAATCGAATTATCTCCATATACTGGCTTGGCAGATCTAAAATTAATAAAATATTTAAAGAAGTTTTTTTAGTATTTTCAAGAGTACATTTTTATGGATTCCTATTTTTTCAATATTTATTACTTTTCTATGTTCCAAATTATTTCATAAAATATAAACATATTTGTGTTTTTATTTTTATAATTTAGCAATAATGCTCGAAGGCAATATGGTAGATTTATTCATGTATATACTAGACATGTGTATAATAGTTGTAATGGAAAGAGTTTGTATATTTACACTATATATTTACTACTGTCAACACTTTTTATTAACTGCAAAATATTAATTTGCATCTTATGTGTCTTGTTCGGGAGGAGTTACTCGTTTATCTTGAAACAGATCATTCTCATTAACTAACCCTTGTGTGTTCTAATTATTACATTCATACTGATTGGGAATTTTTTTTATTTTGAGTTATTTTAATTAGTCTTTTTTAGATTTTGAAGTAGATGGAACAGAGTCATAAGAATGTTCCTTAACAATTGGCAGTTTTAAAGGCGAGTTTCTTTTTATTTGAGTGTTGACAGCTGCAACATGAAAAAAATTAAATAGAAACATTAAATTAAAAAAATACCTAAGTATTACCTTTATAAATACCTATAAATCTTTAAAATGCTGAGAACAAACTTTCCTTTCATAAATTTTGATTCTCTATTTTCAAGTTTTGAAGCATACTCTTCTTGGATCCACACGTTCAGATTTTCCAATTTTATTTTACAAAATTACCTTACATCTACCGGTTTTAGGAAACCAGTGAAATGTAACAGAATGCCATTTTTTCATGAAATAATTATTCCAGGGTTGCATTGAGGCACACAAAAGTGTCTTTCACTCATTTTACTATATTTTAAAATAATTTAAAATGTATTCTAAACGTCTATTTTAATAGAGATGACAAAAATTTTATACATTAGCTTAATTATTAAATAAAATATTTTAAACGAAACATTTTCTAACCAAAAACACCATTTAATGACATAACCATAAAACGCCAGTCTTATTTTCACGTCTCGATCGATACCCAACTCCATTTAACATAAAGAATCGATTATTTTCCAGCGAATAGTGAGCTTCTCAACATATCCCGAGTACGAAAGATGAGAATCCCATTGCA